ACATTATAGCAGCACACTACACTAAATATTAATTTAATGTTAATAAAGTATAAAAAAAATAAGCATACGAGTTTTATTTTTTTTATCTCTTACTCACGAACAGTCATACTTAGAATAGGACGCCATGGAAACATTTTAATTGAAAAAGGGCGTCGCGACTAGGAAAAGTTTGGGAACCACTGCATTAAGGTATTTACATTCGACTTGAGCACATGACAACCCGAATCAGGAAGTCAACATCAAGGATGTGCAAATAACTGATAATGCGAATTTAAACGCCAAAACACAAGACCATGCCCCATTATCCCTTGCTTGCTAAATATAAGTTGATTTGTAAAGCAGCATAATTTGGGTTTACCAAGAAATATGTACAACATATGAAATGGGATAATGGAAGCAAATAAGTTGCTCTTATACAGAATGAAAGAACAAAAGCCTTAAAAAATACACATATTAGAAGCGATAATTCAAGAAGGTAATACGAAAAGCATGAGTTTTGAAAAAATTATATGGGCTTCAGTTCCCAAGATAAATTCAAATTACATAAAATAAATGTACTATATAGGAAAATATGAGACTATAAAAGATATATACGTCGTTTTATGTTACTGCCACAGCCTCATTTCAAAAGAATTGGAAAAAGCCAATATACTAAATAATGACGAAATATCAAGATATGCTACTTATAAGTGTGAATACTGATCCGCATATGGTTACAAATCAATGTGTGAATTAACATAACTTAATGAAATAATGAATAAAATATCAAACCCAACTAATCGGGGAGGGAAAGTGAATGCACATGAGGTTTCGGCTGATTAAATGGGCGGAAATTAGAAGGATTTACCCCAGAAAGTAAGAGTTTTCTAGAAACAAGGAATCCGGCGTCGCCGGAGTGTTCTAAACCATCATAGTCAAGGTATCTGCCATCAGAATCATCCAGATATTGAGATCCCTCCTGTTCAATATCCTGCTGGGCTACTTCTTTGTGGGCGGTCTCCAAGGCAGGAGAATAGGATGGTCGAGTAAAGGACGCTGATGGCGAAGCCTGAGTTGCGACTTCGGCCTCACCAGAACGATGAACAACAATAGGAGGCGGGCTGAAATTGAGTAACAAATTTTAGAATGGAAAGAGAACTTCAATTGGACCAGCGTACAGGAAATGATCAGAATTCAACTAACCTAGGTGCATTTGCCGGCGCTTTGTCCCGATCACGAGAAATAATGTGAGTGTTGGCATAGAGTTGAAGCGTCTGACTGTTCTCAAAAAGGAGAAGAGTTACGTTTTTTTTAACTCCAAACCACCATGGATTTCCAGGGCCAGAAAAAGTACACTTAAAAGAATACGCTAAAACGCTAGTCAAAAGAGGGATAGAGATAGCTGTATAGCTCGCATGATCAGGAGCAAGAAGACCATCAAGTCGATGGCCGAGCAGAAGAGAAGAAGCAAATGCAGGGAACACCATCATACTGTAGATGGTCGCATAGACTAGAGGCAGCCATTTATTGGTTTGCGAAAATAAAGATCTGTTGATATAAGAGAATAGTCCAAGGATAAACCATGCAATACAAAGGATACTGCACACGGAGAGCATAAGATAAGTGGGAATAAAAACGGAAAGCCAATTCCATCTGATCCACCGCTCGAGCTGAGCAATGAGAAGAGTTACTTGAATCAAGTTAGCAGCGATGAATAGCTCCATGGTGAAATCGCAAGTATAGACCTCGACACCTGTTAACCCAGTCGCCAAATCAAAGGTTATTGCCTCACTGACAGCATTAGTGTGCGCTGCACCACGGTTTATAAGGCTATGTCTCGATATTAGGTTAGTTAAGCGACGTCTTCGCTTGCCAAAAACAAATATATAAGCAGCCAAGCCGCTTATGCCGACAAGAACAAGTGGCGAAAGGACGACAAAAAAAGAAATATCTTTTTGCATACCACTGACCCTTAGGCATATAAGTAATTCAGATAGGCCAACAAGCAGCTGAAAAAGCATGGATACCGCCATAGCATGAATGTGATGAATGCCAGAGGTGTCCCAAAGCGTTATAGAGGCCTCGGCTGTTGGTCCAGGAACAACACTCCTAGAGTTTATAGTCCAGACCATAAAACCCACCAGGAATCCAAAGAACGTAACTAATTTCCAGAGCCAAAGAGGGGAAAAGGCAACCCAAATGGAGATATCAAGTAGCCCATCTGCCCATAGTGATAGAAGTGCTATCCAAACGAAGCAGCAGAGTGAGATAAAAAATTTGCCCTCATTGAGAGTTTCGAGACAGAAGGGAAAAGTCATCCCGGAGAGGAAATAAAGGTAATAGTCAGCATTGGAGAAATCATTTAAGTCAGAGGGGACAGACCAAAAAGTGTGTTAAGAATTAGAAGACAAGTATAACAAGTAAGCATTAAAAAGCCAAAAAGTATGAAAATTTTCAATAACAAAAAATTAAAAAATAAATATAATACTTGTGCATAAAATGTCACGCAATCATAAAAGCAATAATTATTTTTAAAAAATAAATTTGTATTTGTTTTGTACATTAAAAAATGCA